ACCAATGTTATTGTTGCAGAAGACTCTGCAGGTTATGCGAAAGCTCCATGTCAAGCCCAAGCAGTGCACACTATATGTGGATGTCAACAAAGTAAAGCACGAGGAATCTGTCGTAGTGGACGAACTAGCCGAACACTGTACGCTTTCCTTTGCCATTCGACGACAGGAGGCGTACGATGCCCAACAAGCGGTTCGGCTCCAGCGCTATGACTACATTATGCCAACAGTAGAGTACCACCCATCCCATCCCAATTATGCTTCGACAATTGGTATCAATGCACTAAGGGTTGTCCAACAAAGCGTACCCAAGGCAATTTATTGGATTGTGGATACGCCTCAAGATTTGGAACGGGTTGCTCTCTTGCGTGGGTATGGAATTGTCTCCAACCGGCCATTGGAAATGGTTAAACTGGTTCAGGATACCCGCGTGTGGTGCCTGCCTTCCCACTAGCTGGCTACCGATAACAGAGGTAACAACAGACTCGCAACGTCACCGAAGTATCCTACCGGTACCTTGCAACCATGAATCAAGGGTTGAAGTCTTGCATCTGGCCCAAGTCCAGGACCACCAATTGGCCCTGCTCCAGGACACATGCCCAATACCTACCACTAGACAACTACCTGGATCTGCCAAAGGCTAATGCCTAGACCTCCACTCAGATCAACAATTGCACCTACACCAGGAGCTCTGGCTGGCTGATCCAACGCAGGAAACTGCTCACTCCAGGGCCTTCCCCTGGACCGACTCCAGGTCACACATCATGACCTATCTCTGGTCCAACTCCAGACCCGAATGCTGATCCCGCACCTAGACCAACAAGTGGACCTACTCAGGGCCCAACTGCAGGTCCCACTCCCAGACCATCTCCAAGGCCCACCCGGGCTGCACCTATGGACAGTCACTCTTGGCAGCTACTGTCATGTAGAGGAGTAGATCTAGGTTATCACAGTACAGAAAAGGATTTGTATTTGTTTTGACTCAGATCTGCTGCAGTAGAAATCCAATCAAGATTCATGCTCTCTGGAAAAAACTGAAGCGGGAAGCATTCGCTTGGCGGTGCTTATCACAGCATCTGTATCTCCTTGCACGGCCACAATCGCTCCCGCCACAGCGGTGTGAATAACGACGCCAAGTCCCCATCCCAACGTAGGAAAGACGAACCAGGGAGGAATCAGCAAAGTGGTAACCAAATTGATGAAGAACAAGAACAAACACACCACCGCCCAGATGGCCGCATGGATCAGAACGGTGCCTGCCGCCGCTTTTGACACGATGGATGGTTCGTCTATTGTTATTGACATTATCTTTGTATTGTTGTGGTTCCTTCAACGCACTTTTTATTAAAATAGACTATGTGAACCAACCAGTTTCAAGTTGCTCGTAAAGCACTCTCTTTCTTGGATCTTTGGATCGTGTTGCCACCACTTCGCTTCGTCTCTCCTCTCATTTTGCGCGTCATTGCTTCTTGCTTGTTGGATGAAGCAAATTATCATTCGTGCCATAAAATACCCCATCTCCCAACCCAGTCCAAACCCTAATCGTACTGTAAAGAATCGAATCGAATCGAATCAAATCCCTTCCCACCAACCCTTTACCGGTACATCTGTAGATACTGGTACTGGTACCACCTACATGTACTAGTAGCAGGCTTGGCTCCCCCAGCACCCCACACCAATCAAAAGCAGCCGTCTTCCCAGACCACCTCCCGCACCTGCACGAAAGTGGCTAGCACGCTAGAGACTCAATCCTGGACAGATGCATTCACCAACTCCAGGCCTACAAGCTAGGTGGTAGTACCCCTGGACCTATTATAGGTCCCACACAGATCTCCAGCGCTCACTCCTGTTGCCACGCGTCGACCCACTCCAACCAACACCAGGTTCATCGCCAACCCTCACTCCTCCTTGTTTCCTCACCTTCGAATATAAAAACTAACTGGACCACTTCCAGTAACAAAAAAAAAATGGTCAGACTCCTCATCAATGTTCCCTCAACAGAAACTAGCTCAACTCGGCTCTGGCTAGCGGGCGTTACAGCGTGCCGTTATGTGATGTAAAACAGACATGACTTGATCATCAGTGTCCACACACCAAAAATTTATTCTATTCAAAGTGGTACAGCGGTACAGCTCATTGGCAGTTGTTCAGTGGGTTGGGAAGTTTGGGTTGTGGGTGGTGGGTGCGTGGGTGCAACGTGGTGAGTGCAGAGGGCAGAGTACTTGTAGGTACGGTACCGGTACTATAGAGTCAATAGTACCACAGCTCCAATAGCTTAATGAATTCTACGCCGTTCTACTTAACATTACATTGGAACATTGAATTTGAGGCAATAGACCTCTAAATCAAAAGTGGAGATTTGAATAACCTTGTGAATGTTTTTTTCTGTTCCATTAATGCTTTAAGAAGCGGAAGGTCTTTGGGAGACGAAGGAAACGAGACAATAGGCAAATCAGTACTCGAAGGGAACAAAGTGGAGAAGGCCCTTTGAAACATCCAAGATCCCTATGAAGTCTCTGTAACTAACTAAATAAATGCAGCAACAACAGCATTTACAGGTTGATTGATAGCGGAGAAAAGAGAGAGGGCTGTTTGAAGTGCTCGGCACAATTCAGCTTGGACCCATTCACTTCCTTATTGTGGTTGTGTTGGTTTTGTTGTTGGCTCTCAATTGCCATATCTTCTCGACAATATTCTAGCTAGCTATTGTGGTATCAGGCAGCAGCAGCAAGCAAGTGCAGTCAAGTCAAGATGGTGTTCCATGATGAAGTTGATCAGGAGTCGAGCACGGAGCTCACCCTGGCGTCATGTTCGCAACAATTCGGGGATGCCTCCTTCGAAGCCGTTGACGTAGAGGAGCCAAGAAAGCCTATTGCCCACTTTGATCGCAGCGAAGTCAAATTGGGCAAGCAAATCGGCGAGGGCTACTTTTCCAAAGTGTACGAGATTAATGGATTTCAGCTTGATCATCATGGTAATGACCACTACTACTCTCCCGAGGAACAGGAGTTGCGACAAGCCTATCACCAGCAAGTGGCGGATGCCAATGGCAGCGGTCGGTTTGTGTTGAAGCACTTGAAGCCTCGCTTACTCCAAGCGGGAAGAAATGATTTTGAAAATGCTGTTGTGGATCTCGTCGCCGAGGCTACGTTTCTACAGCAACTGCAGCATCCCAACATTTTGTCCTTGAAGGGTCTGGCCAGAGGAGGGACCGACGCCTTTCGAGGAGGGACATACGAAAGTTACTTTCTCATTACAGAGCGTCTTTCCGAAACACTAGCACAACGAATCCATCGTTGGAGGAAACAACTACAAAAGGGGGGCACTGATAAAAATGATGGCAGCAATAAAACTACAAGCACGCAACGTTTGGGTGCCAAATGTCACTATGCTCTACAAATTGCCCAGGCATTGAGGTACCTTCACCACCACCAGCTCATATTTCGCGATGTCAAAACCGACAACATTGGCTTTGCACAAGATGACCCGGACAAAATACAGCTCTTTGATTTTGGACTCTGTCGCAAGCTGCCAGAGTCCAACCAGCTCGACGATGTCTTTCGCATGTCGGGGGGAGTGGGAACAAGGCGGTACTGTGCAGTGGAAGTCTGTCGGCATCAGCCGTACAATGCTAAAGCGGATACGTATTCGTGGGGCATTGTATTTTGGGAACTTTTGACGTTGCAAAAGCCCTTTGCTGACTTTACCAAAGAAGACCACTACAAGTTTGTCTGTGAACTCGGTGGGACACCGAACCTCTCTCGTCATTCCAATGTCATTCCCCCATCGATTCAAACTATGCTCCGACATTGCTGGGCTAGAAATGTATCAAAACGATGGACGATGGCACAAGTGTGTGATTCATTGCAAGATATTATACACACGGATGATGACTTACAATATCCAAGAGCCGCAGAGCCACGACAAGACAGGTTGGCATTGCAACAGCATCGGCAGTCATCTTTTGTGTGGAGAGGGACGAGACGAAGAAGCAAGGTTACGGTGGCGGCATGAGCGAGCAGCAAAACAAGAGCCAAAGCGCTGGATCTTTTTGGGATCACGCTGCAGATATCGCTCCTTTTCAGCTTGCGACCCAGTTCATAAAATAACATACATGTACATAGCACTTATCTTACTTACTTTCGATTTTCCTTTTACTACAGTCGGATTCGGAAGAGAGCTGCGGGACCAGCAGCGTGTTGAAGCGATTGCAGTACTGTATGTAGATGTAGCCGCCAAGGAAGAAAGCAAATTTTGCAACTATCATCGCTCGACTTGACTTGACTCCCAGGACCAGATCCCGATGGAGCCAGCTAGCTACCATGGCAAACCGCAGCTTGCTAGGTTGCCGCGATTTGGCTAGTTAAATAGTGGGTATGGCAGGCAACCAGGTGGGTAGGGAGCCCTTTACCCCAATCTCAGCCTTGCATGCCTGACAAGTGGGCCCTAACTTATGGCGTGTTTGCAAAAAGGATGATCGAGGCAGAGGCCACGCCAAGCATTTTGATCAACAAACAACCCGTCGGTACGCGCCAACGAAGTACGCTTGCCAAATGTGACCGAAGGACTGGTGGATCCGTGCATCACCGTTTTGGCAAAATATGGCAGGCTACCGTACCGCTAGGTCCAGGAGCTTCGTCACTGCACCTCGAGGAATGAGCTTTGTCGGCAGCGTGTTAGGTACCAATATTGTACGTCACTCGCTCTGCACCCCAGTGTCAACGGTGCAGAACTGAGAAAAGGACCCAAATGGTGTGTTTGCCCCCGGAGGCCCAGCCACAAACAATCTTGACGATCCATCCAGCGTACCCACCACTTCACAAGCTTGGACTGGTGGATCCGCAAAGATGGCTGGCATGAGGCCTGAGCTACTGGTAGTTATTGGTACAGCTAGCTCTACCGGTGGGGTGGGAGAGTGCAACTGGCTGGGTGGTGTAGTACGTACCACCGGTAAGCATTCCCGATCGGAACCGCCACGAGGAAACATGCGCAAGGGCGGCCAATCACAGTTCGACTGCGGGTTCGGTTCCCTTTATTTACCGAAATGGAAGCGAAATACATCTAAACCCAAATTTCATTAAACCCTAATCGATTAGTCTAGTCCCCTTTTGTATACCGGACCGAAACTACCCTGTTCTGTTTTTGAATTCGGTCGGGCTAACAGCATCCATGAACACTGGGTCTCAGGTCGTGCTGGACTGCTCCATGCAGGGTTTGTCACCAGTCCTGGGTTGATGCATGGCGATAATGTCTCGAGCAAGGCAACTCAACAACACTTTGCGAACTACAAGCCTTTTCGCAAGACAAGATATGAACTGTGCTTGCGAGTTTGAGACAAGTCAAGATAGTAATTTCCATGCAAACAATTTGTACCACCTTTCTTGTCTTGTGCTCCCTGTCGTCGATTTGTTCAAGCAACCCTTGATCTGTTCTCACAAAAAACAAAAAACAAAACACAAAAACAACAAACACAGAAGCAGCAATGACAACAGCAGCAACACCGGCAACAGCAGCAACAATCATCCCAGAGAAACTGAGGAAGAACAGGCCGAACTTTATCTTCTTGGACCTGAACATTGATGAAGACTTTGATTCCAAGACCTTTCTTGATGTCATCTTTTCCTTCCGACACAACTACACACTGCGATACCTTAACTTGGTGAGAAGTGAGAAAAGGGAAGGAGATGACCGAAGATCAACAAAGGAGATCCGACGATTGTTGACCGAAGTTCTGAAGCTGCCCAGATTAGAAACTCTGGACTTTGAGGGCTTCGAGAAAGAAGAATTGAAGCAATTCGACGATCTCTTCCGCAGACGAAGGACCAACAACAAGCAATGAATATGAAAGACAACCAGGGCAACCACATGTTGACAAACAGCTCTAAACAATTTCAATAATGTATATCTTAATATAACTTTAAAAGCCCAAACCGACACACCACTACCCAACTAGTAGTAGAAGGAAGGCTGCACAGATGGTTCAGACTATGACCACCGCCTTCACTGTGGGCTGGTGGTTAGTTTACTCCTGGCAGGATTTGCAAAGCATGTCACAAGTACAAATATCGCAATCTGTGCGCATTTCGACCATCACGCCAAGCTCGAAGACGCTGAGCGAACAGAGGGCCGGATCGATGGGGGTGGTAATGTTGTTGCCTTGCACACTGAACGACGTAAGCTGGTCAACAGGGTCAAAGCCGAAAGGAACTGGAAGACAAGAGTTTTAGATGGTCAGCCAAGGTTGTCATTGCAGACTTCATGTCCGGCGAATCAGCACTTACCCGTTCCTGTCAGGAAGTTGTTGTTCAAATGGAGTTGCTTGATTCTTCCATTACCAAGTCTAGCAAAGTTGGAAGGGATAGTTCCTGTGAAGCCGTTGTGGTCCAAGTAGAGGTGACGAAGTCGGACCATGTTATTTTCCCAATCAGAAGGGAGTGGCCCTTGGAAGTTATTGTAGCCCAAGTCAAGATGGAAGACATTACGCATGCGCCAGTCTGGAGGCAAGTAACCTGAGAACTTGTTATGGGAGAGGATTAACCATCCTACAGATTATAAAGAGTCAAGTCAAGGCATGTTAGTTTCGGCTTTGTGCGACGACAGGTGTACAAGCGGTCTTGGCTTACGCAAGGGCTTGGCTTGGCCTCGTGGAGATCTGAGTGAAATGGGAAGCTGTCCAGCTACAAGGGCAGCAAAAGAAAGGTCAGTGATGCGATGTGCTATCATCGTGATGGAGCGCGAGGGACTTACTCAATTGGTTGTGACCCAAGTAAAGCGAGTCAAGGTGTTCCATCAATCCAACCTGCTCAGAAAGTGGTCCAGTGAACTGGTTGTTCTCCAAGTAGACATACTTCAAGCTAGTGGTTGCGTAGAGATTGTCTAGAGTTCCCGTGAGTTCGTTTTCAGACAGGTCGAGGCGCTCCAAGCTGGTCAAGTATCTCATCTCAGGCACAAGTTGTCCATTCAATCCTTGTCTCAACCAATTGATTTGGGTGACTTCTCCAGTAGTCTGGTTGCAAACAACACCAGTCCATTCACACTCATCCGTGGTAGGGTCACTGAGAATAGAGCGAATGGGGTCATGCATAACATGATCCATGACGTTGAGCACATAGCGTTGGATGGCCTTGCGTCCCGAGGGCACCGGCATGATTTGATCCTGCTCCACCAGCCACAAATAGGAAAGAGCTTGAGGAGTAGCAGTGTCTTGCAGAATTGCTGGAGAAGTCACATTGATCAAGTCAAAGTAGACAGCAGATCTGTCGGGACCGGGGGTGGCAGGGACTGTCGGAGCGGGAGAAGTTGGGGAAGGAGTTGCGCGGAAAGTGGGTGCGGCAGTAGGAACAAATGTGGGATTTGCGGTTGGACCAAAGGTTGTGTCTTCATCCGTAGGCTCAATGGTGGCCTCCTCTTCAGGTGCATCTGTTACTGGAGCTTCTGATTCGGGTTCTACGGTTCCCGAGGTGGGAGTAGAAGTCGAAAGATTTTCATTGTCCGAGGTCACATTGCGCTCTCCAAAGGTGTTGGTTGTATTGGGAACAACAGGAGCATCCGTGACAGGGGCAGGAGGAGATGTCATCAATACCGGAGACTCCGTTTCAGGGATCGGTGCATCAGTAACTACAACCGGGGGATCAGTCACCACAGGAGCCTCCGTCACAGCAACAGGAGGTTTCGTGTCAACCTCTTCAGGTTCGACGGTACCTTCTTCTTGCCAAAGGTCAGGGGCATCCGTGTTTCCATCTTCATCATCAACCCACTCGGGGGCCTTGGTGTTTTCCGACTCTTCGTGGTAGGGATCCTTGGTGGTCTCTTCATAGACAGGAGCTGTAGTGGCCTGATCCAAAGTAGTAGTAGTGGTGGTGGTAGTAGTAGTAGTGGTAGAAGGGTCATTGGCATTGTCCGTGGCGCCAGAAAAGCTTGTCTCGTTGTTTTGGTTCTTGAAGAGCATGACAGCGCCCAAAGGAATTCCAATGGCAAAGATCAGAACAATAACGGCGACGGTTCCATAGCAACGGACAATTCGCATGCGCTGTTGGCGGCGCGAGATTGGGCGAGATTCGCAGTCGTCTTCCTTCCTTTCCAGCTCCGAGTCGCGGCTGTTGGTGGGGGAGGAGGTGAAGGTGTCTTGTTCCTTGAGGTCGGCATCCAACTTGACAGGCGTCAAGTTGGCTGCATCGGGGATAATACCACTGGCTTGAAGCATGACTGTGTTCATGTTAACATCCATAGCCGGCGTTCCCTCGGGGTCGGGACATGGAGTATGGTGGACATCAGATTCGTCAATGATCTTGCAGTTCTCGGAAGTCATGGATGCATTGACAGAGTTGTTGATGGCGGCGCTGACATCCAATACGCTCACGCTCGCGTCAACAGAAGTGTCGTCGCTAAGCAGACTTGGGTTTTCAAGGTCCGCTACATCCATAATGGGGACAGGGCCAGATCCCATGAGGGGTTCGTCTTCCACCTCGTCGTTGCTATTGGTACGCTCAGGGGTCATCATGGTAGGGGTTTGTTGATAATGATAATATCAAAGAGGCAATCAACTCAAATTAACGAAACTCCTCCACGAAAAAGAAAAGTGAGGGTGCGATCTTTCCGTGTCCCAGAGTTGGTGGCTGATCCTTCGCGCCAAAGGCTCCCACCAACGAATGATTGATGAGCCTGTCTGTCGGCATTGGCACACAAGCCTGGTTTTGAATTTTGAATGTATCATAAATGAAAGAGTCATTCACTACCGCTGTAAAGTTTGAAACTGAGATCCAGGTGAAAGCTCCGCCACAATTTCCCGCGAAAAAGCAATGCGGTGAACGAAGAAATGCTGTGTCAAAGGGATCAGCTGCACCGGATTCACACTTTTCTTTTGTCTTGTTCCATCTCTCTCTTTTACCATGCTCTCCCGAAACGTTTTCCTCCTTGTGTGTCTTCTGTGCTTGGCCGGCATCAGTCAAGCTTCCTCTGGGCTGCGAGCCACTGAGGAGCAATCGGTATGTGTGACAATGATTTTGATGATGTAAAACTCGCATGTCTGCTTGCTGCCTTTCACTCAGGTTTCCGATTTCTTGTTACCTACAGGAGCGACACCTTCAATTCGATTCTCTCTTTCCTACCGATCTCTGCAAGAATGGACCTGGAGACGATGACATTGGCCCTTGCGATACGACCAAATTCGTAATTTGTGGACCGGGAGAAGTTAGATGCTACAACCGCAAGGTTTGGAGAGACAAGTTTCATACAGACATCAAGCAGCCCATGTTCTACATTGATTATGATCTAGTCTTGTGCTACCCTCAATTCTCTGGAGCCTGTTCCTCTTGTTCACCTGGACGCTTCTGCCAAGCAGAAAGTAGGTGCATTTTGGATGAGTTGAACTATGATTGTCCAATGTGGTTGTAGAGAAGACATCATGGCAGTGCCTTTGAGTTAAAAGGTTTTGTTGCCACCACAATTGGCAGCTGTTGTATTGGGATGAGACATTCTAATTGAGTTCGAACTAGCTTGATAAAGATCCTAGTAATGAAAATTTCATGTTACTTTCGTTACTATTAATACCGTAGTAAGTTTCAGTTTAGTTTCCTCCCTCATGGAAGTGCTTCAGCTCGAATTCTTGATGTTCAGCAGCGAAATCTTCTGTGGCTCTATGCCAGCAAGAATGAGCCTGGAGACAAACGTTTTGGAAGCGAATTGAGGAACCCTATGTTACTCCCATCGGTGCATATACAAAACTCTTGACATATTATTTGATAGACGCCCAGAAACGTCTCCCAATACAACGAGTGAGTACGGCATTGTAAAGAATACCAGGTACTAGTACCCCCAAGGCCACTCATATCCATTCACTTATTCAGCTTTGGTATGCCCATTCTCTGCCCCGGGTTGTTCTTCTTTAGGCACTTGGTCTGCGAACGATACCGAAGTTCCCTCTCTATTCGCCTTGAATGCCTCTTGGAACATGGAGAGCATCAACTGCTGAGTAGCCATAACCTGCTGCAAGTTCTTTTTCATTTCCGTTGTCTCCTGACTTTGATGATTGTTGGGTACGTCACTATCGTTGCCGCGTCTGCCCATCAGATTGTGGTCCCGCATGCTTTGATCCGTCCATCCACCTACGCCGTTTCCATTCTGCCGAAACAGTAACATAGGATCAGTGACCACCGTATCGCGCTGTTCTTCATCCTCGTTTTCGCTGGCATCCCGGGCAGCTTCAAACGTGGCTCGTGGCCGTCCCACGGCATCCTTTAGATTGTCAGATGCCAACGAGTTGTGCGACACATCAGTCATGGCGGTGCTAGTATGTGGTTTGTTGAGTAAATGCACGGCAATCGCAACAATGACGCAGGCGCAACAAAAGATGATGGGAAGAGCGAAATTCTCTGGTGACAAGGACGCCAATTCTGCCGTCTCGGATGTGGCGATTTTCAAGCTAGATCATCGGGGAACAAAGAGCAAATGCTTTTGGTGAGTCCCTTTGCAAATCAATCATCATAACAGCCAGCCAATCGATTGTACTACAAAATAGACTCAGCATCCATTCTTTCTTACCTGCATTCTAGCGGTGGTGAATTTTGCTCGGCATAGTCTTGAAACGTAATTCCTAACTTTTCTGCTCGGAACAACCAATAGGACAACCCACCCGCAATGCGCTCACCCACTGGGAATGCAATCGGGTTTTCCAGGACAAGACTACCGGTGGAGACAAGGTGGTTTCTACAAAATGCCTTCATGTGATCTTTGTTCTGACGAACATCGAGCATGCTGTTTGCCACTGTAGTAGTCCCAAGAGTGTGTAGAACCAACAACGTGCAAATACATACATTAGAAAACCAGCAGGAGAACACAACAGGATGGTACGGAGCAAACAGGATTGATGGACTTACCAACAGGGCACTTTCCAGCTTCGTAGAGTTCAATAATACCGAACGTTGTCGGATTGTCTTCGTTGACGACAAAGGTCGCATCCGGCCATACGGATTCCAATTCTTTTCGTAATGTCGGGTGGGCACAAATGGGCGCGTTGGTAAAGATGGCCTCTTCCATGGAACCAATATAGTTGGAAACACCAGTGACGGTGAGAAAGGCGGCCAGGTTGGCCGTGTAGGACGCCACCGACACAAGAATCAAAAAGGCAAAGCCAAACATGAGAATCTTTTGCGCCCGGGTGGATTGCCAATCGAGTTCGACCGAGTGTCCAAACATGTACGTGGAGAAAATCATGGTACTATCCAAGACCATGCCTCCCAGAATGGTGGCTTTTTGCACGACACCTGCGCGTCTCCATCGAGACCCAGTCATGCGTCGGGACAAGTAGGAATGGACTCCCCGTGTGGTGGAGAGCCATATATTGACAAAGGCAATGAGTAGAATGAGAATCCAGAGGCAAATCCACAAATTGGGGTCAAAGGGAGCAAAAATCTTGACGACATTGTCTTGTAGTCCGCCTCCATCGACTTCTGGTTGTGGGACAAACAAGAGGACCTGATCGACGGCAACAGGTGTGGTGTAGGGTGTCATTTGCAAGCGTTGACTGGTGATCCAGTAGGTGGAAATGGCGACATCGACCAATCCAGCATGTACATCGTGAACGACGCCTGTGAATGGATCATACAGTTCGTCTGCTCCGACACTGCGAAAGGTGTATTCGACCCCTGCCGCATTGGATAGTTCGACGACGGCATTGAAATAGTCAATGGCGTATCCTTGCCAGGGAACGTCGTCATTGTAGTACTCGGGTCCCTTGTTCTGCGCCAATTCTCCCGATTCCGTCCGCTTAAAGTGCATCAAGTCTCGCATAATCGGAAAGGCAGCTCGGATGGTCACATTCTGCAGAGACTGCGTGGTCTGATAGGACAAGAAGGAATCGGCCGATGCGTTGCAGACACTGTAGGAATAAAACAAGTCCACATGATCATCGAACATGTCAGATCGATACAGTTGCTCGGGTGTGACGCGACAGGCATCTCGATCCACGTAGCACCAATGCTCGCCGCAAAATTCGGGAAGAACTTCCTTTGCACTGGTGGTGGTACAGCGAGGATCCAGCCCCACATCATGAGCCGCACAGGCATTGGATCCAAAGGTCAAGGGGAAACAAACTTCTTCAAATCGGATTCCAGCATCGCCATTGTCTTGCTCGCAGTTGGAATGCTCGATCAAGATTTCCGTCGAGTTGATGCAAGGACAGCTCAGAGGCAATGATGATGGTGATGGTGATGATGATGCCATGGTCCCAGGATATAAACGCTTCAAGAAAGTAAAGCCGTGATTAGCGTGTTATTACAACCGCTGATGAGTGTGATATTCATCCCTTATTATTGCCGTTGCAGATCCTTGCCGTCGAAGACATGCATAATGTCATGGTGTCCAAGCAGCCTTTGGTTAACTTGGTGGTGTCCGTGTTGATCTGACGCTGCCAGGAATAGACCTTGAGCGGCAACTCGTGTCACACAGCTCTGCCGGGTGTACCGGTAGGGGTTAGTGGTACCAGTCGCAGAGAAGGAACGTTAAGCCTTAATTACTTACACCTATAAATCTGCTTCTTCACCCGAACAACCATCTTACATACTTTGTCAGTTCACACAAAAGATCTCCCCGTGATGCCGTTGTCGCCATGCACCCCGTGCGTCCACAAGAACAAAACGAAATCTGGTGGGCACGGGAAAGACAGCCCGGTCCAGTGACTTCCAGTATTGCCTGTTGTTTCATAATCAAAACTCCAAACCACCGCTGCAAGATGCTCTTTCTCTTTGTCCTTCTCTACTGCTATTGCTGCTGTACTACCATAGTCCTGGCCCGACCTGACATTGTGGCGGTCCTTCCAGATCGTTCGACGGCTTACCCGAACGGTGTCCACAATGGGCTTCTCTTGACCGCCCGTCGCCTCGACATTTCCATGGAAATTATCGACGTGGGAAACTTTGATCCACGCATTTCGGCCATGGTACTCTCAGAACTCATACAACTCCCAACGTCTCAGCAACCCAAAGTCTACCTGATATGGCCCATTGACTATCCCAGTCGACTGTTGCTTCAATTACTTTACGAGACACATCAAGTACCCATTATCCAAATGAATCAACTACCCGGAGACGACTCCCAATGGGAATGGGACCATTTGCTGGCATATGCCGGACCAGATGATGCCTTGCGGGCTTCCAATGCAGGCAAAATGATGATTCAAGCCATGGCGGAGCGAGGAATCCAACAGGCCAATATCGTTGCCCTGGGGTATCCAGAAACCTACGGAGGCTATCATCTTTCCATTACCGCCTTTGAAAATGCCATTCTTGACAACAATAATAATCGAACGGAAATCACACTCCTGCAAAAACTTCCATTGGACTGGGGGACTCAGCCAGCCTATGAAGCTGTGCTATACTTGTTGGATACTATACCAACGGGACAACTCCATGGAATCTATGCCATGGATGACAGTATCCTCATGGGCGCCTATCAGGCCATTCAGGATCATCCCTCGACACGAACTTCCAACAACAAAACTACTATTACTCTGGTGGGAACCGTCTGCAATGGAGCACGCGAACTGCTCGAAACCAAGGAACAGTACGGGACCACCGTGCAGAGTCCCTATCTCGAGGGGAATTTGGCGGTCCATGCGGCAGCCGAATACTTGAAGTATGGCATGCTCCAAGAACCAACAATACGCCTTACTCCCAATCCCATTGTCACGGCAGACACGTGGCAGGACATGTTTGTCGACTTTCAGGGACAATCCTACACGGCCGATGATCTTTGCACTTGGTCGATTGGACCCTACGAACGGGTGGCGGGGTTGGAACAGGTGGACGACGGGATTGTACAAGACGTTTGTTCCATTGTCAAGTGTTCCTACATACCCAGTGCACTCCTCTACACGGGTCTGGCACTCTGTGGGATCAACTATCTCATCGCTGCTGCTAGTGCCGTCTGTTTGTACATTTATCGAAACAAAGCTGTCATTCGTTTGGCACAATCCTTCTTCCTCATGTTGGTCGTATTCGGGTCCATGGTGGACAATACTTCCATCATATTGATGAGTCGCGATAATCACCCCGATTCGGGAAACTCCATTCAATCCTTGGATGCCTCGTGCCTGGCGTTTCCTTGGGTACTGGCACTAGGACACATGATGACCACTGCCACACTGGTGGCCAAAATATATCGAGTCAAGAAATTGATTGGGAACACGGCCAATCCACAGCAGAATTTTCGAAAGGCCACGGTTTCCGTCGAATCCGTGGCACTCTTCATTGTGGCCTTTTTGTCAGTCGATGTGGTTCTGCTGACGGCGTGGTCGATTGTGGACCCGCTCAAGTGGCAAATCGAGGTCAAAAACTACGATGAAGAGGGGTACATTGCAGAAGCACGGGGAGCATGTGATACATCCAAACAATATTCCTTCTTGTTTCCCCTGTTCATTGCCTTGTTTCATTTGGCCACTCTGATATACGCCAATTGGCTGGCCTACGACACCAGTGCCTATCACAAAATTAGCGATTCCAAGAATGTCGCAATTGCACTCTTCAATTCCATTCAGCTTCTGGTCATTGTCACTCCGCTGCTGATCGTCGTTGAGAGCAGTGTGTCCACGTCTTATTTTATACGAGTTTGTTTTGTCTTCCTCAACAACTTTGGTGTGTTGATGCTGGTGGTGGTCCCCAAAATTTGGAAATGCCTACAAGGAAAGGGCGACGACATTCCCGACTTGCACAGCATGATTCAAGCCAACAACAACAAAAGGACCGGTGAGACCCGGAATCGAAGGATACGTGTTAGCGGGTTGGATGATAGTCAATTGGATCTGGAACAATACAAACAGCGCGAAGGAGCAGTAAGCGAACAGGTTCAACGTAGCTACGAGATTGTGTTCCGTGACGAAGACGAACACCCCAAGTCTGAACCCTTTAGTATGCCATGTGATGCTGATAGTGTCGAAACTGGTCCCACGCCCTTTTCGACGGAAAGCTACGAAACCGCTATCACGCCGGTGGCGTCTGAAGAGACAACGAAGGCCACCAACTTGAAAATTATTAACGAAGACAATGACGACGCCAAGTGCGAGTCCCGAGAGATCATCGAGGTAAAAGACAAAGTAGAAGAAGAAAAGCCATTGGAAGCTGACCAAAAGACTGATACAGCGACGAATCCCGTCTTCGTTCAGGAGGACAAGGTTCAATGCCATGACAACTTCTTTCTAGGGGAAGAGCTGGCTGCCATGCTTGGGTTGGGGATGCAACAATAGGGCAGCTTCAGGAGGATTGTCACGTTGGCACTTAGGCAACGAGGTTGATACCAGGTACCTGTGCGATCACAAGAAAGGGAAGGGAGAGGCAACATGCAGAATAGACCACATCGCCGGGAGAGAATGTACGGAGTCGAAAGAACTAGATCAAGCTGGCTCAAACCTTCAAACGAAAGCCATCGTCTATCGTTGAAGATATTTCCAAGGTGTGGTTTGACTATCATAGTAGAGACAAAAGGTAACGAGAGTGTCTCGTCTTCGTTGACCTTTGCTGGCTCAACGAGCATGGAGCGTCAGACAACGAGTGGTTGCCGGCCTTGATTGCCTCAATGAACCCAAAGTGCTGAAAGTCGCCGAGCCAACAATTCTTTCGTCAAAGAAGGTACCGGTACGGGGAAAAGGGAACGAATCGGTGTTTCGACCATCTGTACTCTGACGGCAGATTTCAACGTCCCTTCAACCACACTATCAGGCTCGAGTGCCGTGGCTCTGCATCGCCCCAGTTCGCTGGGCTTGTCCTAGCTACTAGTAGTAGTAATACTCTCGGAGAAACTCCAGCCGTACATTGAGCTGGAAGCCTTTTTGAAAAGAAACAAACAAACTCATAGCAAAAATTGGCTGAACGAAGTAAACAAACACACTATTGTTTTTTTTAAATTATTTTAAATTTTATTTTCTTAAAATTTACATTGAAATTGAGTCCCACAAAGTGGCGCGCGACGACGCGCGACGATGCGCGACGACGTGCGCCAGGACCTGCCCACTTTGTCAATTTCAATGTAACTTTGAAGAAATTAAACTTTAAACTAATTTTTGAAGACAAAACTAGAGTAACTCTTCTTTAGAATTTAAAAATTTGAAATCGAATGATTGTCATGATTATGGCCAACCTAAGTCTAACCCTTTACTAACTAGTAGTAACAATCTCCACACCACCAGTAGCTCTACCGGTACCAGTACCAGTACCGGTAGCTAGTAGGTCTAGCTAGAGTCCTCGCTGTTGATCCAGGCAGGGGCCTAGGGAAGAATTAGTTAGTAAAAGTTTGTTAATAACAATTATGAGCAGTTTCTGGCTAGTTGTCCCTGGCTGGGAGCACACAGGCTCAGTCTGGGAGTGCCAACTCTTAACAGCTCTTAACGGTTGGTGGCTCCTACTTGCATAACTTGCAAGTAGGGTGAGCATGCATGCAGCTTCCTGACATCATAATAGGGTCTTGGATCTGGCTACCGACTCATTGAAAGGTACTGGTAATGAGAAATTCAAAGTTGACCTAGCCATTATTTCTTTCTGTTATCTGTTTGAGATGAGTGTTAAACCTATAGTTGCCATTTGAAAGTAGAGCATTAACAGATAATTCAGACCATATACCCACAAGTGAAGGTTTTTGGCAGCTTAATGGGAAGATTTAACCCAATGACTGAATGACTTAAAGGGAATGACTGAAAGAATGAGTATACACGAATGAAATTAGTGCAGGTTTCAAAATGAAAAATCCTCATTTCCACCGTGTTGAGAATTGGGGAGTGCTTTTTCTCCACAGGAAAGTGACAAAATCGCCAAACAAATGTTACAGCCCCATGCAGAACAATAAGGGGAATGAGGCCGTAGCATTTGTTTTTATGTTTTTACATCTTCTGGTCAATTTATTCCACTCCCCAATTACATTACCACACTCTTTCAATGCGTCGGTAGGGACCCAAAGACTTAAGGGTCCTGAGTGCCAGATCAACACACCCTCACGCGATTGTGATGGCTAGTTGTTGTTTATCGGCAAGTTGGTTGCATGTTTATTGTTGTGGAGGAACTTCGAGCGTTCACTTCGGTGGTGGGAAGCCGGATGGTGTTTCGTGAAGTAGTCTCCTCTGTTGGTGATTCCGGGTCGCCAATAGATGGTGAATTGGCCTTGGTCGATTCGATCTTTCAGCCAGTAGAAGCGCATGTCAATGGCTTTCAAGTGTTTTTGTTTGACGGTTCCATTGAGGATGCCTTCAGCGCATTTGTTGTCTGTTTGGATGGGCGTTGCTGGCTGGGGATGTCCCATTTCAATGAGTGTTTGTCGCATGGGGCATGCTTCTTGGGCATTGTTGAATGCTGCCCCCACTTCAGCTTCTGCTGCAGAGCTGAGGACTTTTTTCATGATTTTGACGACTACATGAATGGCTCCGTTGTGAGGTGGATTGTCCAGGTCTCCATTGCTAAGGAAGAGGTAGCCTCCGGCTCGGGATCGAGCTTTGGGTGCAGAGAGGTAGGAGGCATTGGAATGGAGGTGTAGGATCATGTCACTCTTTTTGTAGCGGAGGACAGCATCAGGATTGGTTGCTGCATAGTTTAACAGCATGGCTGTGGCTTGTAGGGGTTTCTCTGTGCCGTGTGTTTGTTCAGCTGCTTGCTAACGTGAGGAAATACTACTTGAATAGAGGGATCTTGTAGAGGTAGCTACCACCCAACGAGATCAACTGCAACTATTCAAGACGAGTGCAAAGTAAATGCAAAGTTTGCTTCTTAGTAATTCATAATCTGTGTTGTGAGCTTTGATTGATGCGATCAGTAAAGCTAGTTCGTAGCGAGTTAGATCAATGCATCGTGGTAGTTGATCTTGATTCATACGGAAGTCAACGTGGTATCTGCGGGAAACGGTTCGTTGGCAGGATGCTTTACTCCTGTCGAATACTCCAATTTACCGTGTCCTTTGGTTTCGTTGAGAACGTGTTCTTGCCAGCGTTCTCTGTTCCATCGTGTTGACCCATAAAGCATGACTCAATCTACTCACGGATACTCTGAATCGTGGGAGGAACTGTAACGCTTTCACTCCCCTCAGTGGCGACTGTCGACTCTGAGTGTTTCTTACCGCAATTCTTGGTATCTCCTGACCAAAACAGTAGTGCATTCAGCATAGGCCATACCGATGTATAGTCCCAGTGTTTGCTGAGGATATCTGAAGGGTTAGTAGATCCAGGGATATGATGAAATCTCAAGATACTTGCAGCAACAGCTTCCCTAGTACGGTGGTAGGAAAGCGCATTGTGTCTTTTGAGAATCTTTGAGTGTGGCATCGAGGCGGTGTT